TCACACACCACGACCGCACGTAGTAGCTGATGTTGTATGCATTGGTCGTGGGAGCAAAGTCTACGATGGGCATGTCGATCTGGATGAAGGCAAGATTGTGAGCTGGGAGTTGACAGATGATGTCCAGCCTCTGGTGAGTTTTCTGAATGGGAGTATGTTGACGTGCGTTCGGGATACTCATTATGTGGAAACAGATTACCATGGAAGATCTGCAAATTGTAGAAACTATCGCGAGGAAAGATCCCAAGGTCATTGAACAGTGTGAATTGATTGGTATCCCACCAGAAGATATGCACAAGGTGTATTGCGATCGTGAGTCTTCTTCAGCGGAGCCGATGTGCCCATTTCCTGATCGATGGCAGCTTGGACAATCGGCTATGATGAGCGCTTTGGAACAAAAGTCCGTCTCCAGCAAGCTTTGATGTACTACCGACCTCATCCGGATGACAGCCAATATACATATCCCCTAGACTTTTGCCCAATTTACAACGCAGACACCCAGGAAATCATACATATCGACATTCCACCAGTTCGGAGGCCGCTCAACCAAGCACCCCCTAACAATTACCACGCTGCAGCCGTCGAGGCAGATGGCGGTTTCATGACTGGTTTGAAGCCAATTAATGTTACGCAGCCCGAGGGCGTATCTTTCAAGATGGACGGACGATATATCTCGTGGGCCAACTGGAAGCTGCATATTGGATTCAATTACCGAGAGGGTATGGTGCTCTCGAACATTACCTTCAACGACAAAGGCACAGTGCGAGATACCTTTTGGCGGCTATCACTAGCCGAGATGGTTGTGCCCTATGGAAACCCAGAGCACCCTCACCAGAGGAAACATGCTTTCGATCTGGGTGAGTACGGTGGTGGGTACATGACCAATTCGTTAAGCTTGGGCTGCGACTGCAAAGGCGCGATCCACTACATGGATGCAGCATTCGTCAACCGCGCAGGTCAGGCCACCACCATCAAGAACGCTATCTGCATTCATGAAGAAGATGCCGGGATTCTCTTCAAACACACCGACTTTCGCGATGACAGCGTGACCGTCACCCGCGCGCGCAAACTCGTCATCTCACACGTTTTCACAGCTGCAAACTACGAATACTGCGTATACTGGATCTTCCATCTTGATGGAACCATCCAGCTTGAGATCAAGCTCACCGGGATCTTGAACACATATGCCATGCTTCCTGGTGAAGACTTGAAAGGCTGGGGCACGGAGGTGTATCCAGGAGTCAACGCACACAACCATCAGCATCTGTTTTGCATGCGGATAGATCCGAATATCGATGGCCCGAATAACACTGTCTTCATGGTTGATGCAGCCCGCGGTGATGGCGAGGTGGGCAGCGAGGAGAACAAATATGGCAATGCTTTCTATGCAAAGAAGACCAAGCTCAGCACCCCTGAGCAAGCGGCTACTGACTACAATGGCGGTACGAGTAGGACTTGGGAGATGTGCAACGAGAGCAAGATCAATCCTTACAGCAAGAAGCCGGTATCGTATAAGCTGGTTAGCAGAGAGGTTCCGGAGCTACTGCCAAAGCCTGGCAGTTTAGTGTGGAAGCGGGCCGGTTTCGCAAGGCACGCTGTACATGTCACCAAGTGCAAGTCATCTTCTTTTGATTGAATTAAGCAGAGAATACTGACAGTTGGCCAGACGACGACACGCAACTCCATCCAGCAGGCCGTCACGTGCCTCAGACCTCCGGCGAACCCTCACAAGGCATTCCTGCGTGGATTGCCGCGAACCCCACGGAGAATCTCGTAGACACGGATGTGGTTCTTTGGCACACATTCGGCATCACACATTTCCCCAGCCCCGAGGATTTCCCCATCATGCCCGCAGAACCGATGAGTTTGCTGCTCCGGCCGCGAAATTTCTTCACGCGTAACCCATGCCTTGATGTCCCACCGAGCCATTGCAGTGTTCCAAGCGGAGTCAAGCAAGGGGGTGGGTTGGTGGACAAGATTAGCAAGCTGGCCTTTGGAGAGAGGGAGAAGGAGCCTTCGCCTCTGCCGGCGGCTGGATCTTGTTGCTCAGACCAGAAGTTTGGCGCTGGCGTCTAAGCTATTGACTTTGTATTAAGTGTATATGACCATGCCAGAAGTACAAATACGACAAGGTCTATGCATGAACCAAAATGTACATGTGTACGCATGTTCTAACAGTGGCTTCATCATTGTCGAGAAGCCGGTCGGCTTACCCTTTTGAAAATGTCGCAAAGACTGACTCAGTTGATGGCAAGATGCATGCGAGACCTATTGTAGATTGGTTAAATCTGAACGCAAAATGGTTGTCATTTGTTTATTAGCTAGACGTTTCATTGAGATGGGGATGGTTTGTAAGTGCGTACCGGTAGACTAGTCGATGGATGGATGACGTTTACCCCCACGCGGACTAGTAGTACCCACCTAAACCTCAGAGGCCCAAGCTTCAGGTTCACGGTGTAAGGGTCCACCATAATTTTTTGTGCTGCCCGCCACGTTCGGAAGCTTGAGACGATAGCTTTTTGTTTTGCGCAATGACGAGAGGACTGGCCATGTCTCAGATGCCATCGTAATTACACACATCAAGAATGTAGCCACAAGCACCGGGGGCACTCACCATCCGCGTCCGCAATGCCCCGCACCTTTCCGCCTGTAGAGGTCAACGATGATACTCAAACGAAGCCGCCCAGTCTTGCTCTACCACGAACGACGTTATCCGCCTCGCTGATCGAAAGTGTCGCAGGCTTTAGCGCTGGTGTCGTCTCATGTCTGGCTGCACATCCTCTCGATCTGCTCAAGAACCGCTTACAGCTCAACACCAAGAGTCGCTCACGGCCAGGTGACTCCTTTCGCATCTTGCGCAATGTCATTCGCGATGAGGGAGGCGCAAGAGCGCTCTACCGCGGACTATGGCCGAATTTACTGGGCAACAGCTTGGGCTGGGGCTTATACTTCTTGTTCTATGGCAATTTGAAGGACATGTTCCAGCAGAGGAGGGGGCACGGGCAGATGCTGGGGAGTGCTGAATTCTTCTCTGCTAGTATCATCGCTGGTATGGTATAAGCTCGTGTTTGGTATAAACAATGCGGGATCACGCGAGCTAACAATCCTACCACAGGTCTTCTTACAGGCGCTTGTACAAACCCCATTTGGGTTGTGAAAACGCGCATGCTTGAGCGCGGTGCAAACCATCCCTCTGCGTATAGGTCCATGTCTTACGGCCTACGTCACGTCTATGAAACCCGCGGGATGAAGGGCTTATGGGCTGGATTTATCCCGTCTACGCTCGGAGTATTGCACGGTGCAGTACAGTTCAGCATTTACGAGAATATGAAGAGGCATCGTGGGATACAGGTCGGTGGGCAAGATAAACTGAGTAACTGGGAGTATGTGTATATGAGCGGTGGGAGCAAGCTGCTTGCGGGTGCCATCACGTATCCATATCAGCCTATCAGGGCGCGACTGCAGCAGTATGATGCAACTAAACAGTATAGCGGGCTGTGGGACGTGCTGAGGAAGACGTATAAGAATGAGGGTGTTCTGGCGTTCTATAAGGGGTAAGTAACATCGAGCTAATGGACATGTCCAGTGTGAGTTTGGGCTAATTCATTCACAGTGTTATTCCCAATACTCTTCGAGTCATTCCGACAACCATTGTCACGTTCCTCGTATATGAGAACACGAAGTTGTATCTGCCCAAGCTCTTCCAGGACGATGAGCACTTGATTCACGAAGAAGACTAGATGTATCGGAAAGCTCAATGAGGGGATCTTCTTCTCATATCCAACTCCAAGTCATTCCACACGCCCAGCAACCACTCCACGATCCCCAGCATTTCAGAAACACAACGTCAGAAGGGTAATTCGATGTGATGGTATACCCATTGCTCTCACAATTCTCTGCGTTTGCGCTCTGTAAGGTGCTGCAGGTGAATTACTCTGCACCCAATTGCGCCCGCTGTGCCCAAGCCTTGATACATGGTGGAGTAATAGAGAAGCGGGCAGACTTTCACTGAGACTCCAATACCAGTACTATCATCTATATACGAAACTCCACCTGCGAAGACTGGCCTAGCATTCGCACACGACCTCAACCTTGGGCTCAACCTGCAACAATCACACGCACACCACTACCCAGACGACTTTTCAGCTTGTTCAAGATTCCAAAGCAAGATTTATACGACACAACTACAAATTTCATCAGAATCCACGGCAAAACCATGGCGCCAAATTTTGACAAACCTCGACACAAGCGCACATCAAATATCCAAAACATGTTAGAGGCATGCGAGTCCCTCAAGTCCGAGACCGCATCAGCCCGCGCCGCAGCAGTCACTAGTATCCGAAAACTTATTAGGCGTACTTCTAATGGGATGCGGAACTTGTTGGATAAGGTAAATCGACACCGCGAGGCACGCTCTGAGACGGAGGCATCGTCACAATCATTGGACTCTGTCGACCCTGCGCCCGCTCAAATCACCAGCTTGGCAAAAGCTTTTACAAATACCTTGTCATTCCCATAGCTTAGTAATTTCCTTGCTTGGATGCTGTATTATGATTCTGTTGAGATGTCAGAGTCTCCAGAGTCTTGGTATTCGTTGATCGATCCATGGAGATGCGCGGTTGGGTTGCTTTGGGTAATTATCTTGCAACCCGCAATGATCAGGATTCCGGCTTCGATCTACTTGTCCTTGAGTCCATATGTGATCGGAATAATTTCAATCGACAGACTGTCTTTGAGATGCTGATGCAATTCGCTGATCCCCACAAGACGGAATATTCACAGATTGCCCTTGCCGCGCAGCAGGCTGATAGCAATGGCAGTACACGATTGCAGGCCCTGGAACACATCCAGACCAAACTCCACGACATGTACAAACTCACCATTCGTATCAAGCCAATGGATGGTTCCATGTTCCAGATCGGCCACGCGACGACCAAGTCACGAATGCGAGGATACTTCCATGATGTGATCGAACGGCGAATCAAGTCCATTCGTTATGGCACTCCGCCTGCCACTCCGCCAATTCGAAGCATCTGACTGAGGAGACACAGGAAGCCACCAAGCTGAACTACTACTTCGGAGTCGTCCAAGCAAAGCGTGTTGTGTCACTCACACGCTATGGGGTTCTCCTGTTATCAAATACTCGACGAGGCTCAGCATCCACCGATCGTGTCAACCTAGAGACCAAGCAAGCACAACGGCATGCCCTCGAATTATCCACTGCAAATCAAGCCCTCAAAGCCCAGATTGTCAATCTCCAGCGTCGCAACGCAGAGCTTCTACGCATCAACGCCAACATGGCCCTCAAAATCACGAATATGGGACACTACCAACCTGCCGGCTATGTTCACGTGCACAATTCATCCTCGGCACAAGACCGTCCCACACCTTCGCGCTCCACCTCAGCCCCAATTCAGAACATGTCTTCCACCTCGCATGCCTCAGCGCAAATCTTCCATCCCGCTGAGCCCGCTTACAAGCCCCAGAACCCCAAGCTGACTCCCCCGCGTAAAACCCTCCCCTCAACTGCAACACAAAATCCACCCCCTGCGCCGTCTGCCGCTCTGGTCGACAAGTACGCCAGTGTCTTTGACGGCCTGAGCCCGCAGTCCCCGCCTGCGCTCCGCTTGACGAATTCGCGCACTGGCGAGCAGGTCGCTGCGTCGGGATCAGTGCATGATGTTGGTTCCCCTGCGAAGGGTAGGAAGTCAGAGCGACAAACATTGGATACTTTCCCCCCATCTCTAGATATAGGAGAAACGTGCCGCCGGTGTAGGTGCTTTCGGGTGGTCCTAGGTCACTGGTGACAGTAAATTGGTGCTCTGCATGTTTCTTCGCAGTTGGGAAAGTCGTATCAGAAAGGAAGGAGGACGTACCTTGTATGACGACCTTCCAGAGACCCATGTTAGCCTCACCAATATATATGTCGTAGTGCGGATGTTCCCGCGCCCCGGAATTGCGAATCTCGTTGTGAATTCTGTTCAGACGGAGATTCTGGTCTGCGCGTTGTTCTGTGCCTGATTTCGCGAACCGGCCGAGCTCGATGAGGGACCCGTCGAGATTGGAAATCTGCTTGCGCTCGGGAACAGTCTTCGGTGACACGATGAATGGGAGCGTCCCTTGCTGCTTGCCTGAACTCGGCAATACCATCACCAATCGATCGAATAAACCGATGGCGATGATTACGAAGCAAGTCTGGTACATCATCCGGGCGCTCAAGCAAAGATAAGACGGGCTCCAGCTCGCAGATGGCCAGGGCTTCTTCCAGAGTCTGGGGCGCAAAATTCAAGCCTCCTGTTAGATAGCTGAGAGTTTTGAGATCACCATGCTCGCCATTTCCGAGAATGAAGGAATCGACAACAATGTGACTGTGTATGAGACGCGAGGTCGTCATCATAGTGTTATGCTTGGATTTGTTGTCTTCGCCATCTGAGATGCAGATGATGCGTAACTTTGCTTGGGAATTCTTTTTCGCATAATCGTTGGTCCTGAGCAAGCGCGAGGCTGTCCCACAGTGCGGTGTCTCCCAAGGCTGACATGCTGGTGAACACGTGTGTACGCGACTGCGCTTAATGATGTTCCAGGTGTCCACATCACGGCAAGCCAGAATCCGCCTCGGGACTTCCCCACGTCGGCACCCTCATTTGCGATCCCCAAACAGACAACATCGCAGGCACACATTGTGGCTCTACTCTGTCATTTTCCCTTCAGCTGCAAACGATACACCAATCATGGAGTCGCCCGACACCTTCACCCTCCTCCCGCTGGAGATGGATCCCACCACCAAGGCCATCTCAGCACCCAACGCAACCAGCAACGCGCTCGCAACCGAACTCGAGGCCCTCAACGCCCTACACAGAGGTCTTTTGCATGTGGAAACACCTACCGGAACACCTCCTCCGCCCGTCCCCGTCAACCCAAAGCGCTCGGCGCAGATTAGCAAATTGCGCGAGTCGGGCAACGCAGAGTTCCGCAAGGGCAACGCCGGCCAGGCGGTCAAGCTATACACTCTTGCCATTGACATGGCACTCGGTCGGCCGCATTGGGAGCCATCAGGTCTCGTGAGGGAAGAGGTGTCGAGCTTGTTGAGCAACCGCGCGCAAGCGAACATGGCGCAACAAAATTGGGCAGAGGGCGCAGTGGACGCAGAGGCAAGCGTCGAGATGAAGAAGGTCGGCAATGCCAAGGGCTGGTGGCGGAGGGGCAAGTGTCTGCTCGAGATGGGCAGGCTGGATGAGGCGGAGCAATGGGTCAAGCAGGGTCTGGAGTTTGAGGCCACCGAGCAGGATCTGGTCAACTTGAAAGCGGAAATCGAGAAGAAGAGGTCTGGAACATTTTGAGGTTGCACATAGGTAGATATCGAGGCGTTGGCTTGGGAGAGGCATCAAGTCAAATGTGCATTACATGGCGTTTGGTGTCAGGCTATGAGCTCTTAGGGTGTAGGCTACAATACGATTATTCTGCTTCATGTCCCATTGCATTTTCTTATAAGAAGCCGATTCTGTTTGAGCAGGCATAGACTATGGCCTCGATTGGACTGTAGATGGTGAGATGAGACATATCTACCATAGCCTGGCTTACAGGTACACAGTACGAAAGCAATGAGATAACGCTGATGAGGGCAGACAGCAGAAGATCTAGCTCACATGTATAAGTGTGCAGAGAGTTAACAAAAAGACGATTATCTCTCAAAGACAATTGCTGTTCTTCCGCAGTTATGCCTAGGCCAGGATAATTAAGTTGGTGGTCAGAGCCCACGTGCACAATGCGCGCATAAGCAGAGTAATCGCTAGTGTTTATGATTTCCTTTGTCACTAAAAGTTGACGTCAGCCCATCTAGACAGTGAGGACAGATTGCAGACCCCGCAGCAAGAAATCACAACTAGAACAGCGGATAGTACAGGTCTAACACATAGATAGGGCAGCCTCTGGTATTCGCAGTGAAACAGTACCCAAAAGGTCAACAAAAATGATAAAAATACAAATCATGCAACGTGGTCCGCGAAAAGGCAAAAAGATGGACTTGCAGGGAATCGAACCCTGGACCACTCCCAGACCAATCGTTCATTGAACGAAATGCTAAGGGAGTATTATACCACTAAACCACAAGCCCGGGGTTTTCGATGAAAAGATCCCCTGTTTTAATATTCATATTCATAATAAATACTGATTGAGGAGGCTGCATCCGTTTAGCGCAATTCCACTTTCGTTCACGGGACCACCTGCCAAGCCTCCAAGCCTCAACCGGTGGAACTCCATCGCAGCCCGTGTAAGCACTGACATATAGCCGAGCCTACAGTCTGGATTACCATGGTGGTAGACCGCAGCCATCAGTGTACTATGTGCCATGTCACTCGGATAACTATCACTTGCGCTCTTTGTACAAAAAAGATTAAGTGCGAGTTATACATTCATCTCCTGGAAGTTCTTGTGGATCATCAGTAGGGTGATCGGCATACATTTCATGCACCTCTTGTTGGCTGTTATACGCGTGGTACGTCTTGTGATCAGAAGGTGGCCAGGCTTCCTGAGGAGCGTCCTGGCTGCTGTGACATGAATGCTTTGGTCACGTGTGATTCTGAATGGGCTTAGCCTCTTGGCGATGCTTCCCCATAGATAGCTCCCATCCTCCTAGACTAGGACAATATGATCACATTACACACTGCATTTGGGCCCTCCTCACCGTCGGATACTGCACTGGCCGTAGGCGTTGCCTGCCAGTGTGGTAACCGTGTTTGTAAGTGGTATTCTGTTGACGTTTTCTTTTAGAGCGGAAAACTTGCCATACAAAGAAGGCGACCAGGGCAAGACCCAGTATAGGGCCGGCGACTACGCCTGCGATCCATGCTCTGGATGGGATCGGATCTGCTGTAGAAGATGGGCTCGCAGTAGAAGTGGCCATGGTATTTGTTGCAGGGCTGAACCCAACATTGAAACGGGCAGATGATGGCGATGGAGACTGCGCGCCAATAGCGGTACTGCTAGCAAGCTCTAGTGCTGAGGAGGCCGACGCGGTGACCGTGGTTAGCAAAGTTGCTGACAGATTTAGCCCATGAATAGACTTTCGCCAGGTTGACGAACTTAATGAGGTGGAACACACGGTCCTGTATATGGAAATAGCTGCCCAGTCTGATGTGTCTGCAGATGATTTGCGAATGAACGGGTGCATCATTGATGGGGAATTGGTCAAAGACGGACATAATCTGACAGAAGAAATCCCTACCACTGCAATGTGTGTTAGCTCAGACAAGCTATACATGACTACAAAGCGTACCAGTCATCAGTCCCAATACCAACAGGACTAGGGCCAACACAACTTGTCCAGAAGACAGAGCAGTCAGCCGCGCCTATTGTACAGCACTGTGCATAACTGATGTCAGCAGCAGGCTCTGCGAGTCTGGACGGTTCATAGCCTCGACTACGGATGGTCAGTGATTGTCGAGAGAGCCTGAATCGAAAAACTTACTGGACCCATCACGGCTGTGTATATGCCACCTCTGAAACCGTTGATTGTTGATCTCGGGACCGCTGGTGATTGTCGCTTGCTTTATCACTGTCTTTGTGCTCAGTCGGACTTCCATGGCGGGGGTACTGGGTAGAAGCAGTGTGAGAAGCACCAGGGGATAGAAGTGAATGATGGTAGACTTGTACGAAAGGATTTTCAGAGTCGACGCGAAGCGAGCAGCCTCGTCGTGACGTCTACACAACCACCCTCGAGCTTTGGATTGATCAGCATTGCCGACTGGGGCACTGCCTAATTGTCCTACGAACCATAGGAGATTATCCTACCAAGGTTAGGCTGATTGGCTGGCCAAGAGTTGAGGTCGGTCGTGTCTTGTAGGATGAGAGAAGGTAAGGTAGGCTATGGCAGGCTTATCTAAAGTTACGAGTAGAGTACGGGTACGTAATCTCCTTAAACACCCTCCCCAAAGCAAGTAAAGATGAGCTATGTAAATTAAAATGGGTTACAAGATTTAAAATTAAAGCTGCCAAGATTTGTAATGCTCAACCAGCCAATTCGCTCACCGTCACTCTCAGTAGGTGGTAGGACAACCAGGCGACCCTGTCGTCTAGGCATAACAGCACGATATATTCTCTGCCTGGCTGTACGTCGATGTTCTGGCGTGGCGTCAACTACGGTACAGTCGGTTCTCTGTGAGCTGCCCCAGTCTCCCGCTCTTGTACAGACATTGACCAAGGAGGGTTTGTTGGCCTACAACCCGTTGTAATTCTCTTCAACGGAATGATACTATCCCCGAAAGTCATGGAGATGACAGCTATCAGTCGCGACAAAGTGGACCAATCTACACATGTCCATGAGACTTGAGGTATCATCCAGATCCCTCGCTTGACCCCCTAAAATATCAGCAGGAGAAACACATTGTTTCCAACCTCACCAGCTAGACCAACAAAAACCCCTTCGATTTCCACAGCGTGTAAAAACTCTTCCTACGCAAGCCCAAATGGCCAAAGACGAACCCAGTGCAACGGAAACGATAGCACGAGCCCTCTCGCACCGTTCGGATTGGTAGCGTGGCGTGGCACTCGCACAATACGGCTCGATGTTGTAGCATGCTCCCTGTTTCCTGCGTGAGATGTAGCAGAAACACGCCTACCGATGGCTTGTTGCAGATTGATTATGCAAACTCAAACTGCAGCTAATTATCAGTATGGAGCACTGTTACGGTACACCAGTGGGTTTTATGAGTGTCGTTTGGACTGAAGACTTCATGCAAGGCTTTTTAGTCTGGCACATCGGTCCTCGGAAACTATCATCTCCGCAGTGGTCGATCATTGGGAATAAAAGTAAGCGCGCTTTGGGTCGACAAAGGGACGACATGGTTCAATCCAAGAGGCAACTCACGGTCCCCGAGGTCCACCCACGCTCTGATTGGCTGATGTAAGCGCCCTAGTGCCGTTTGACCCCCCAGCTCGTAGAGTAATACGACCCCAACAACCCTGACATCACTCATCACCAGATTCTTCGTCCCTCCTTTTCGTCATGCCAGCAGCGGCACAGTCTCGGTCTCATGCAGCTATACGGATTATCGAGGGCGAATCCCTTGGTGTGCCTAACCGGGCCTTCTCCAGTGTATGTTGGAGTGATGGGCTGGATGTGGTATGCGTGGGCATGGCTGGTGATGTACCAGGGAGCCTGCAACGTTGTCGATGCGGTGCCCACTCCCATCATAAAACGACCGAGGAGAAAGAAGCATGAGCCATATAACGATACTAGGTGGGGAAAAGATTGGACAGCACACGCAATCACATATCTTACATCGTCAGCCTCTCCTTTGTGCCTACTTGGTGGCCTCCTGGTCCCCATAGACAGCAGATTTCATTATTGATTTTCCCCTACCCATAACTCTTCTCGTGAGTTTTTGTCATAGCGGTCACAGGGTTGTTTCTATATCATATCATCTATAGGATATCCGCACACACGGGGTCGTCGATTTCGCACATCTGTACCACGCGAGTCCTATTCCATGGGTCTAGCAACTTCCTTTCGATCTCGTCATATCCGGAACACCGGTTTAATCGTGCTGTCCTGCGTTTTGGCCCTTCTGATAATCTCACAAGGCCCCAATTCAGTGTCACGGCCGCGATGGCTTCAGGGGTCGTTGGCTTCGTTGCCTTTATCCTCATCGCCGACCCACGAGGAAGATGAATACTGCCAAAGGTTTCCTGACCCTGGGAACATCGCGATAGCAGTAAAGACAGGCGCCACAGAGGCGGCAGAGAAGATACCCATGCTGATGCGCACGCCGCTACGCTGCGCCCACAACGTCGTCATTTATTCCGACCTTGAGCAAGAGATTGCCGGGTATAAACTCCACGACTCGCTGGCGGATATACCAGAGTCAGCCATGGAGGGAAACTCGGACTTTGATTTTTACAAGAAGCTGAAAGAGGTGCAGAAGTACGGACAGATTGAGAGCATGTTGAAACAAATGAAAAATCCACGCTCATCCAAGGAGTTGGCAGCCTGGACGCTGGATAAATACAAACAACTACATATCCTCGAGAAGTTGTACGCTGCCCATCCACACAAGGACTGGTATCTCATGGTGGACGCAGACACCTACCTCGTCTGGCCCAACCTACTCACTTGGCTCGCCCAACTCGCCCCTGCTTCCTCCACGAAACTCTACTTCGGATCGCCCGCCTATGTAGGCGACATTCCGTTTGCCCACGGCGGCAGTGGAATCCTCATATCGCACGCAACCATGTACGACTTCGCCGTTACCCACAAGGGCCTCGCTGGCCGCTGGGACAGGGCCATGCAAGAACATTGCTGCGGTGACTTCGTTATCGGTGCCGTACTCAGGTCAAACGGTATCCCCTTGACACCCGCATGGCCCACGATCAACGGGGAGAAGCCCTCGACGCTGCCCTTTGGCCCAACGCACTGGTGTCAACCTGTAGTCACCATGCACCACGTGCAGCCCAACGAGTTGAACCAGCTAGCCAACTTTGAGCAAGCGAGGAATAACACTCGTGTATGTTTTTTTTTTCTTTGGCTTGATCATTCCTGAGTATGGGCGTTTAGACTGACATGATTTTTCAGACGCCATTGACGTTTGCCGAACTGTACGACAATTTCGTCAAGGACATTCTCCCAGACACGCTTGCAGACTGGTATAGCCAGAGCCGCGACGCCAGATTTGCACCAGTTGACACATACGAAGAATGCAGAAAACTGTGCGAGGGGAATGAGGAGTGCTTCCAGTTTATGCATCACGGGAACGAGTGTGATCTAGGCTATAGTATACATCTCGGTATGTACAAGGAGGCGGAGAATGGGGTGGCGTTTCGCAGTGGGTGGTTGACGGATAGGATTAGGAGGTGGGTGGAAGAACAGAGTCCGTGTGAGCCGGTGTTTCCTTCAGCCAGTGACGAGCCCTTGCCGTTGTAATGGACGAGATGGATAGAGTTTTTAATATTTTCTTGATTTATATATGATAGGGAGGATGTCGTAGAAACGGTATATAGATTGGATTGACGTATCCTGCACATGTAGAAAGACGAAAATTTAACCAACCCTTTTTCCAACCCATACCCATACTTGACATGTACATGCACAACAACACACTCCAAACCCTCATCAAGCTATCCGACTATCCATGTCCCTATCCTCTCCCGCTCCCCTCAAGAATTGAAAATCCGACTATACAACTTCTCATGCCTACCGACCCACAAATCCATCACCGGCACACTCTGCCCCGCATCCTCCACCGACCGATGCCACCCCTCATCCACAAGCCCCCTGATCCTCGCCTGCAGCTCCGCCCCCGCCAAGACAGCCTGCGCCTGATACGGCCCCAAAACACTCGCGCGCACCGCCGCGCTCACCACCGTCCGCGCATGCGAGAACAAAAACAGGTATGCGGCATCGCGCAACGGGACGGCCAGGATACGGGTCACGAGGCCCCATAGCGGAGCAAGATGGGCATTGAGATGGTGCGAGGAGCGCATGGCAATGGAGAAGGCGGCGAGTGCCTTGGCCGCGACATCTGCATTCGTGCCCGCCGTACGCGTGTACTGGGATTTGAAGCTGCGGTCCCAGACGGCGAGGAGGGCGCGGCCCTGGGCGATGCTGGCGCGGCGTGCGACGGTGCAGGGTGTGCTGGCGTCGAGGTCATTGTCGAGGGTTTCGAGGGAGTCTGGGTTGCGGTAGCCGGTGAGGACGTAGGGGAGGGTGGTGCTGGCGAGGGTGGAGAGGGAGAGGCGTAGGAAGGTGTGGAAGGCGGGGAGTTGGGAGGCCGAGGCTGGGGAGGGCTTGTGGTGTGCGAGGTAGGATTCGAGGCCGCTGCTGAAGGCGAAGGAACCCAGGGGGAGGGCGGAGTCGGATAGGAGGAGGAGGGCGTGGAGGGCTGTGGTTGGGTTAGAGTGGTGGTGGCGGTGGTGGTGGGAATGGCTGCTGGGACGACAGACCTGCGTCGTTGGCGACGGGTGGATTCGTTGTGCTGGAGTCTCCTTGCGTCAGCCGGGCTTTCGCCTCTTGCAAGCGCTTCTCGAGATGCGCAATCTCATCTTTGAGCGAGTCTTGTTCTGCAACTCGTAATGTCATTGAACATGGACGTCAAAGTCACAAAGGAGGCCACTCCTGGAGGAGCGGGAGGGGGTTGTGCATGCGGGCTTGGCAATATTTCCGTAAGAGAGCCCGAAAGTTCAGCCAATCTGGACTGGATTTCCCTTTCCATCCAAGCCACACTCCATGTTACTGCTACGACACTGATGCACAGTACAAATCCTGTTATTCCCATTCATATTCATCGTAACCAAAACAATCCAAATTCAGCCCAAAACTCCACAAGTCCAATCATCCACCGATGCCCCTAACGGCCATGTACCAGCCATGCGCAAACCAGAAGAGTACCTAGACGTCGGGCATTTACACCCATGAACGAAGGAGGGTATTGATGTGAGAAAGTGAAAGAAATCCCAGCGCAGGCACAAGGGGCGCGCACAACCACTACGCCGAAGAAAGCAAGGCGGCCTGTTTCCCAACCCTAGGCGCTTTCTTCCTCCTGAACGGCCTCTTTCTTGGGAATATCAGCAAACATGGCCGTACCCTTGGCCGACTCGAAGTTCTTGGAGCTCGTCTTCTTAAACAGCGTCTGTGGCTTCGACCTGTACCTGCGTTAACGCTGCGATCCATCCAATGTGTGTCCACTCTATCGTCAGACAAGGGGATGGATGCTCTTACTTCTTCATAGCGTGCTTGGTCTTGAAGGCCTGCAGCTTCTGTGTGGCAGGAGATTGAATCTCGTCGGATGGTGAGACGAATTGCTGGGGCCTTTGGTCTGTGTGTTAGATAATGTGCTTCCTTTTGGATGAATCCCATGTGCGCTTACTGCTCATCGTTGATGCGCGAATGCAAGACTTGGCGATGGTAGTCAAGGCTCTTGGGCTTCTCCTTCTCTGGCGATGGCGTAGGCTTGATCTGCGCATTCGTGTCGCGCGCGCCGAGCACGTTGGTGGCCATTGTAGGAACGGGTGTGGGAGGTTTTGTTTGGGGGTGGGGCTGTCTTGTAGAGTTGGAAGTTCTTCGAGGCGGTAGAGTTCTGGACAAGGTAGTAGAGCTTTGAGATTGCAGGCGACAACCAGAGTGGTAATGGCTCTTCTTGGTGGTGGTGGCGGCGGGCTCTGGCAATTAAGAATGTGAATCTTGCTTGTTTACTGTTTTCGGTCGCGGAGCAACCAACACGGAACGCGCCCCACGTCATCGTTCACTCAGCCTTGAACCCTGCCATCTTGGAGGCTAGGATACATACTCGCCTTGACACCTTCACACATCCACGCAGATGACTCACACGCTCAGACACAATCGTTGTCGCGTATGTTTGCTCTCGGTCAGCTTGATATGCGTCTATTGGCTTTCTACTACTCCAAAGTCAATCCCTACATCTACCCGTCTCGGTTCCACATCCCCCCAAACCGATTCGCCCCTCTCCCGCCTTTGGGCCGTTTCTGCGGCCTTTGAGGCCTCTCTAGCCTCTTACAGCTGACATCTGCCTTGACGAGGATGAAGCTCTGATCAAACACATGCCCGTTTGCGTTGCCACATCGTTCCAGCGCAGGAGCAAGCGCCAGTTCGACTCGTCTGCCTCTTGCGCCACCTGGGGCACCGTATGCGCCGTCTTCATCACTGTCTTCGTCGTCTTCGTAGACGTCTTCCATTTCACTGTCGTAGAAGCCATAGCCCCAGTACTGGTCTTTTTTCCCGCCGGTGAACGTAACGAATCGGTAATCGGCCAGTTGACGCTTCATCTTCAGATCCAAAGCTACCGATGCAGAGACGATAGTGTGCAACTGCTCTAGGCCTGTTCGAAGGGACCGTGTGGACCAAGGTCGCAGTTTACGTCGTATTCGTTGGCAGAATCGCGTTATGCGTTTTAGGACGGGTGTTGCATCAAAGGTAGGCCGCCATTTCCCATCAACCTGTGGCACAAGGAGGTTTACAGTCAGAGAGCGCCAATAATGGTATTCTTCAGCCTCGGCTTCATTCTTCACGGCTGAACGTTGTTAGCACAATGAGTTCTCGGTGGAACAATAGGATGTATGGCCGCACCTTTTCGCAGGGTATCATTGATGTCGCGCAGAGCCTTGTCGCCTAATTTGCCAGCCCAGACGTACCCAGCGCCCTTGTGCCAGTTGTTGAAGATTTTCTGTTGTAGCCTCGTCCAGACATAAGCTTGTATGAGGAGCGGTCTATCTTCCGGGTGCATCAGATAGACGTGGTAATTGTCGGTGATGCACCCAAACAGCTCCTTGGCCCGGTGGATGTGCGGCCTCTTGCCACGAGACCCAAGAGGCCCACTAAAGTATTCTTCACTCCAGATTCGTATCTCATGCCGTAGTGCGTGTAACTCTTCGATCAGCGTCTTCTCCTCTGACTTGAACACGCCCGGATGGGTCGCGGGTATGCTATTTGGACCCATGGTCTTCTTCTGCAGCTCCTTGCGTAGAGCATCGCGCTCCTTTGTGACTTGGTAGAAGCGCTGCACCAGGTCATCGTGACTACTCCCCTTCCTCGTCGGCTCTGGCCGCGAAGGGCTTCTGGGTGGTACAATCGGGCCACCCTTTGTGGCAATTCGTATTGGACTGGGTTCAGGGGAACTCGATTCCTCAGAAGAAGTCTCGGCGGATGCTGTGATCTTTACATGTGGGGGAATGTACTGCTTCTTTCTCCTGTTCCTCGGGAGCAGCGCCTCTTCGTCCGACCACTCCCCATCCGCATCCCCAAACGGATTGGGCTTTCTTTGCTCCATGGAGACCGAGGAGGGATGGCGAGTAGTAGAGACAGAGGGTAGTTCGCGATCAATGCCCTCAGCCGAGGGGCAGGTCAGCTTGAGGGAGCGAAGGGTGGAATTGCGCACGTCTAGCGAGAAGGATTCAGTCAGCGCGCCCGTCGCCGATGGCCCTGCTTGGACCCGAGGTATGCCCACCTGGAGACAGCGTCGCCATATCAGCAGGCTGCCAGCATGTTTCTTTTTTCTTGTTGCGGTGGGGTGGTTGGAGAGAGGTCGAGGTTCCCGCCGTCTCGGCTCAAAACAGGTCAGATCAGCATCCGCTGGAGGTGTGGCCGCGAATGGTGGTGGAGGGGAAGAAAAGCAAAGCACGCAAGCTTTGGTCACACACGGCAGCACAAGAGGCTCAGGCTGAGGCTTAGCATGGCGGGAAAGCAAGCGTCATGTTGGTAACGTTGAGCGCAGGCTTCGATGCACAAAAGAGAAGCGCTGAAAGAGGCGTGGGTCTGGCGGTTCCCAAGGTTCCAGCCCGCCACTCAGGATTGATCAATGGCTGGGAATGGACATGGCTTGGTGGATATGGCTGGGCTAGAGTAGATATCACGCCGCCGGTGGTCGGTGGTTGGTTGTTGTGTGTGGGTGGATAGGGGTGTGACGAGAGCCCCGGGGGGGGGGGGGCCATGCATGGCGGGGACGAACGATTTTGGCGTCTTCGGTCCATCATTGGCCTAAAAGCTGGGTTTGGAAAAGAAAGGCAATCAATCATACTCCTGCATAGAGTACATCATGTATATACTCTACTAGGACGGGGCAGTACAAGAGACAAAGAAATTTCCACATTGGTTGCCAATGACAGGTACAAAGGTACAAGGCGTGGTCAGGTGACGCAAAGCTTGCTCTACCACTCTGCAGTGAGCGTGCCCAGTGTGCACCCTCGTGTGTTGAGGGTTTTAGATACCTACCGCATCGAGCAACACGAAATGAATTCCAGAAACTAGGTTACTTGCGGTATCGTCATGTCGCACATATCCTTGCATGTAGAGAGGACAAAGTATGTAGCTAGTGTAGCTACTGTAGCCAAAACGCGACCGACGGAACAATTGTCTTTGTGCTTTTATACTGGCGGGCTCAATAGGTAAGAGCCGAGTGCTTCGGTACGGTAAGTTCTGGAGCTTTTTAGTATTTCCCAGAGCAAAGGTAGGTGTACCTGGGTATGGCATGGTATGGTACCTTTTGACTTTTTGCCCTTGTCTGAAACCTCTCGATCAAGACCGACGTAGAGCTGTAGCTAGACTACGGTACTAGACTGACGTGGTCAACCGTCAATCACATATAGTATAACCGCAACAAAGCATTGATCATTCCAATGGTAGGTACCGGTACCCACCCAGCTTAAACCTAACACCACGCAGGTAACTCACCATAATCACAGAGCTCCCCTCCTGACTCGCCATACAGTCCATGCGCACAGTGCATCCCGCTATCTCGTAAAGTCACATGGACGTACTATGTATGTACCTACATGGTGTCCCACAATCTTCACACGCAAGGAATATCACAGTAGTAGTCACCATGGTGCTGCAGTAGTGTACGAGTACCGTACACCTAACCCACCACCCCCCAAGAGTACGAGCCACGAGCCACAACATACACCAACATGACGTACACCCTGCTTCTTTCTACCCATTGCGAGCAAGAAAAAGCACAAACTGTATTATCGCGACCGAATCAACTCGGTGCACTTGCTATCCCAACACCCAGCCATCCACTGCCATGGCACACGATCCTCAACTCAACATGAGCGAGCCCCATCGTCAAAGACACCATCTGCACCCGTGTCGACGAAAACTCTACCAAAAAAAAATGGCGATTTGTCGGCGACGCGTGTATCGTGGAAACGCTTGCTCAGAGGAGCAAGTTACCTATGGCTCTTGCTTGCACCCACTTCAGCTTGATACGAGGCAGCTAGGTGAGTGGGTAGGTAGCTGAGCTCCGATCGACATGTCTGCGTAGAGCCGCAGATTATGCTATGCCTTGGGATGTGCGTAACGCGCAACAACGTACATTAGTCTCTTAGTCATGTTTGCGCGCCCGAGCGTGCGGGAATTTCATCTAGTCGGTCGGAGCAGAGACGAGAGGTATAAGAGAGCCCGTTAAGAGGTATGTATTGAGAGGGTCTTGCCGGTCCGCAAGGATGATGGTGGAAAGCGGTGTTGACGGCAGACTTGCCGCTCCTGAAGAGGTCGGCTACCTCCTTGCCTGGAAAGTTTACCTACTGCTGCGGCGAGAGTACGGTATGGCGTTTGGACGCGGGTGAGCTGAGTGTAGAGGCGATGAATCATTCTCCACAAGACCTATTCTACAACACACAGGAACAGTCGGTGACGTCTATTTCCGCTGGGCTGATGATATTACGATACTCTTGTATAGACTGGACCAATTACCCACAGCCATGGCAAACTGACTATTTTCATTATTCTTCAAATCTTCCACTAGACATCTTCATCGCCCTTATTGCGGTGCCACGTGAACCTCCCATTCAGCGCCATACACCCCCTTGACCTTTTTCCGCTCTTTACTGCTATCCCCCAACGGCCCAGAAGAACTCGTCACGTTGCTGTTGAGCACACCCTTCTTCTCGCCCGTCTGCAGGAACCTCAAAAAGTCGACCGACACATCAATGTACTCCCGGAGCGCGACCGTCGGTGCCAATGTGGTTCCCGTCACCAGCTTCATGATCCAGGGCACGATCAATGGCGCGTCAGTACAGGAAGGATGTGCAGTCCCGCCTAAAAAAAAGTGTCAGTAGTTTTATTCTCTTCGCTGCAAAGGTACGCTAGAATCTTACTCAACGTCATGAACCATCCCTCTTTGATGCTCTCCACGATCCGTTTCACAACATCGAAATGCCAGCCCTGGCCGTAGAATTCAGTCTGCCTTTCGGTCCATTCTCCGCTCTGCATCACTAGCATGGGCACATCAATGTCCTTATTGAGCGGGCCAGACCCCTTGCCAGGATCCAGGGCGATTCCGCCGTTGATGGGCATCGCCTTGCTTCCTGCAGATTTGAGGGCCTGTAGCACACCAGTCGCACCATACGAATGTCCAGCAATGGCCACCGCAGAGAGATTCAGGCGGTCCTTGAAGCTAGGAAGGGCGGGCGAGTCCCGTTTCCGATTTTCAATCTCCTCTCCGGCATTCATGCGAGCAAAGAGCTTGATCGTTTCGCTCATCTCGGCCTCGCGATACGCAAGCTGGGCGGCTTTCAGATCGAGTTCGGACATGGGCGGATTCGATTCGAGGTCTTGTAGCTTCACGTGCCAGACCTTTCTTTCTGTATCATCGGAGTGGTGAACAATGCTACCTGGACCACTGCCATCCCTATGCTCCACTGCGGCTACGACGTACCCATGGCTTGCAATGCTTCCAAGGTAATGTGCGTAACTTTGGCTCATGCCTGCCATGCCATGTGTAAAGACGAGACAAGGTAGTGTACCAAACCCTTCATCTCGCTTCAGTTCTGAATGCTCCTGCTCTGCTGCGTGCATAAGTTTGCCAAAGCTGCCAGAACCAGTGCCCTCGTCGGTCAAGAGCTTTTCAGCCCCGGAGATGACTGGTGCAGCAACCACCCCTGGAATGACTGTACTAGACCCCAACGCCCAAAGAGCAAAGGTGAACAACGACGACAGTCGCGGAACGCCTGCAAGTCGTGCGTAGCCTTCTCCAATCAACGAGACAGGCTGGGGAAGCCACGGTCTTGCCCACGGCCGCTGACTAGGCGAGGTTACAGGTAACGAGGACGGGTAGTAAAGTGTAATGGCCAGTGTCTCCAGTGTAAATGCATCGTTGCCCGTGGCTTTCAGGACGGCCTCGTGAATGACACGCTTTTGAACCTCAGTTTCGACGTCTAAGATGCCAACCTCGTGTGGGCCGGTATACGGCGGAAGTGGGGATGTGATTGGTGTTAGGCTGAATATGAAGATGAAGAATAATAGGGAAGCCGAGCCGAAGAATAGTACGCGCCGCCACGTGAAGCGGCGAAGACTGAAGACCATGGCAGGTGTTTTCTTAGGTAGAGGGACGTCCAGCAAGGAAAAGAGCCGGGTAGCAGCGCAACCCAGGATATGCGCAAAGTATATTTGAAAACTTTTGATAGACGAGGAATGGACTGTTCGCGCAACAGCATTGCGAGAAGGATACGATGAGGCTTTGGGTAACGGTTGATGACTACAAGGGCGATGACGTAGTATTCGTCCGAACGTCGTCATGATTCGCTGTCGTGCTCAAATCTTACCCTCTGAGACCCATCGCCATCCAACGTCTATTGACAATGTTTGTCTTCCAGCTCGTTGCCATGTATCTGGCTGACACCAAGACACTATTTCCGAAGTATCCGCAGCGCCCAAAGGTGGCCATGTAGTGTAGTATGAAGCCTTGCCAAGACGGCCAACTCGCTGTACAAAAAGCATCGTAACCAGTATCCAATGTTTGGACTAATATGTTAGTTGCCAGATATTTTGATCTAAATGGCCTACAGCACTCTAGGACTACAATGCGCATGCCCTATATATTTTTCACCTTCGGTTAGGGGCTCACCTGTTGGAGATAGGAGCCTGTGTGCAAGATACAGGAAACCCCAAAAAGTTGAAAGAAGGCAAGTCTCTCTGCTAAGATTACTTAGTGTAGCACCTTCCAATTACCAGATCCTGCTCTGTGTAAGTAAACCGCAGGTATTAGCTATCAATTACGACGATCATCTCAGAGCAGAACTTGTGGTAGTCGACAAGTACTATCAAAGAGCCACCTCGATACTCCCACGTCAGCACCGATCCAAAGCACGACATCCACAACAAAGTCCATAATAACAGTAACATATTCCATGCCAAGGACCAGCAGTAGGCAAGCTTGTCGACACTAGATGTTCTCAGTTTTCCAGCTCATCAACCACATCGCCACTTCGAAAAAGGTCAATCCACTAGAAAACTCTCGCAGCTATATCAAACGCAACACTGGGCCACTCAGCACCCAGCACAAAGACTCACCTAGCGAGACAAAAACGAAACGAATGGTCATACTCATATGATCCTTCTCACACTGAACCCCATGTCTACTGTCCATCCCCATGCACCCCCAAAAAAACCCCTACACATCGATACAAACCTCGTCTCCACATAGCCTGAATACCATACCCCACAGACTCCCCCCCTCTCGCGCCGCAATGCAAGCGACCCTTCCTTCAGGCTCTACCCAGGCATCCAGTCCGCCAGTCTCGACCGCACCGGCCCGGATAATCTCCTCGGATGGTGGTCGAAGCGAGAGTGAGATTGGTGCAATATATATACATGTAGGTAGGTAGGTAGGTCAAGAAGTAGGTAAGGTATAGGCGAGCGGTTGTGCCGCTTCGCTTGCTGGCTGCGTGCGTGCAGCTCGCGTGCGGTACCGTGGGTACGGTAGGAGGGGACGAATCTGCTGTTTATCCGGAGAGAATTGGGATTGGGGGGGGGCTGATTGGTGGTGCGAGAAGGTTGCAGTTTGTCGTTGTGTTTGTGTCAGATTGTGGACACGTCTGCCTACCCGTCTCAAGTCGAGGTGGTTGGGGCTGGGAGAACCCATTTGATGCACAGAGCTACAGAGAAGCACCAGGACAGAAATCTACACAGAACATACAGATATCCTTGTCTCAATCGGCTCCTCGAACCGGTTTCCCAGCACTCCGCTAAACTTTCAAAGGCTGTTGAACCCGGCAGAAATGACCAACGCGTGGGCGCAGGGGCCGACTTGGAATGCTGGGCCAGTTCCATCGCCAACCTACCTGGATACGTGTCGTGTGCCAACCGTGGCATGGCCGATGTACTCTACTCTACTCTACATACTTTTGCGCGGGGCAGACATATCTACCTACCTCATGGGTAACTAACTATCCATGTGCTATGCTTGTGTGCGCAGCTCAAGTGGTAGAATAGAATCCTGTCATCGACGATGCTCCACAGCCATGCACATCTTAGCCGTACAAGCAAGAGGTCAACAAGTCTGTTTGTTTACCGGTCCAAGTGTACACACACCCAGTGCGAGCATGATCTACGCTACACCCGCATTAAGTGGCTGGCTTGGGCGGCGACGCGTCGTCCATCATCCGCGCCACAAAGGACGCCCTAATATCAGCGTTAACGCATTGCGCAAAATCTCCGTGCGCGAATAGGTAGCTAGCTAGTACCGGTAACAGCTGCCAATTCAATGCGAAGCAAAGTCTGTGCATCTGGACGTGGATGTACCGTGATTCCGATGATCCTCGCAGCTGAGTATGTAGGCGTGTGTTTGTTTTTTCAATCCTCCTGTCCTGTAGCTAAGGTACTGTAAACCTGGCAACAAAGCATTCCCTTGAAATGCGCTCAGTCCTTGAAAAGACACAAATGCCGAACCCCCGAACTCCCTGTCCCTGTCCTGGCCCGTCATGTTGTGAGAAAAAGGAGTCCGGTTTCATGCGACGCGGAAACGCCCGTGTTAGTGGGTGCCTGGTGCCAACAGGGCGCCTGTTGACGTGCCTACTTTTATTATGAAGCTGATGCGGTGCAGGTGTGCTTGGGGGGACCTAGGTGGTAGCTAGGTACTTCGTTTCGTCCGCCTGTGCTCGTGCTCGATTTACTTTTTGCCCGTGTCATAAAGGAGCGGGATCCTTGTAGGGCTGAGATCGTCAGGATCGGCCTTGATGAAATCCAGAACCTCAATTTCGAATGAGGGGAGGGGTGGGGGTGTGTGCATTCGCAATCCACACGCTGTGCTCAGTGTGCGGTTTCGCAAAGTCGGGGGACACTCAAGTGCCAAGCATGTTGTTATGGCTTGAGGGTAGGCCAGAAGAGAACAGGCACACGAAAAAAAAAAACCATCGGCCGACCAGTGCAACCCCTACGGCCATCCGTTTGCTTTGGCGAGCACATTTTTCTATGAAATGTGGCTCAACATGGTAGGTCATGGAACTTTGTCAAGTATGTGCACCGTACCAGGGTTGGATTGATTGCTACGCTGTGCAATGCCAAAATATTATTAATTTTCCCGTCTATTCGTACCTATGGGCACGTCAGATCCCAATCGGATCAGGAGCTGGCGTGAAGCCGAGGCGGAAGAGGCCGAGTCCAACTATGGTCTAACAAATGAGATTATTGGGGGGGTTGGACCGCGTGCTGAGCGCTACAAGCATGAATTGCTTCAAAGACGGATGGAAAAAAAAAGTGCGCGGTGTTGCGTGCGCTTTGACTCTGTTACAAAGAAAGTCTGACTTTGACAGGATAGGAGAGAGGGTGGGACATCGATCTAAACATTGGTTGAGGCGGTGACGCAGACAAGGAAAAAGTATGGAGGAAGCGCGGAGGCGCTCGTCTATCATCAATATGTACACAAAAAAGAAAGGGGGAATCATTGTTGACGTGATGTGGGAAGCATGGCCAGCCAGGCTTCAGATGACCGCATGGGCAAACAGTCTATTTCGAGAAAGCATTTAGCTTCGGGTCGTGTGTCGTGGTGGTGTGGGGAAAAGACGCAGCATCGGTTGCTGTACTGCGGTCGTGGTCGCAGCACGATTGCGTGCTTTTACTTTGGGTTCATGGTTGGTAACCGGGCTTTCAGAGAGCAGCTTGGCCGCGCCGTCAGACAGCGTAAGCTTATGTTGGCGCACGGGGCTGCGCTCCAAACGTTGGGAGTCTGGAAGGGGTTGGTGGTCTTGGGAAGCACTTTGTTCTTCCTCAGCCGCAGTGGACTTTCTGCGTTGCGAACCGTGTCGAGCCAATTCGAGAGATTCCTTGAGCTCAGAGAGGATGGACCCAGTCTTTGCACTCACGCCTTGGGCATCCTCCTCAACAGTGAAGAAGGTTTGGCTTCCAAAGTGACGGCCAGGTGGTGTAACGTCGTCGTCCATGGTGCTTTGGTCAAAATGCTTCACGCCAGCGACCTGCTCAGATAGTTTATCAATCATCATGCTGAAGCTTTGGTCTTGACGAGCACGCCGAGAGGGCACAAGGTCGGGGACACTACCAGCAGAGCTTGCTGAACGGCGGACTGGAGAGCTCCATAGTCCCGAGCTCTGGATGGATGACATCATGCTGCTGTCGTATGAACTGCGTCGGCTGAAACGAACGCGACTGCTGCGAGTCGAGCTATTGACGCTTTGGCTGGCATCAAGCAGGGGGAAATGACGGTCTGAACCGTTGTACTCATCGAGCAAGTCCTCGTACGTGACCTCTCCGGCATCTTTGTACTCTTCTGGAATAAGAAGAGACGGCGTTAGCACAAAGCCTTCATCGGCGCCAAAACGGTTTGCACTGAATGAGTTGCAAGGTGTTGGCAATCCGGTGCTGGTGGTGGAGGCGGACATTGCCGAGGCTGGAGCCAAGTCTGGCAGGCTGTTGGTGCTAGGGACAAGCAGAGAGGTACGGAAGCTACCAGAGAACCTGTCACCAGTAGATGGTTCGCCTGTGGTGTCTTGAGATGCCATGGTGTACCGAGCTCTCTGCATCGAATTTCTCGAGCTGCCACTCTGAAGGTCAAGGTAGCGATTGTCATCGTAGGCACGATCCCACGCACTATCGCAATCAGCCTCCAGCGCATTCTCGTAGATGTAGTCAACATCATCTTCCCAAGACTCCTCAATCGCTCGCCACGTGTTCGATGTGCGACGAGTTGACATGTTCTCTCGCAAGGAATCTCGATGGGGCACACCCGAGTAACCGAGAGTATCTGACATCTGTGAGGATGGCCGTGGCATCGCGCATCTTGTATTGGAAGCATGGGGCGAGGTCTGCGATAAGCTGTCACTACGAGCTCTGGTGGGCATCGAGTGATGATTTGCAAACGAAAACGTTTCAAAGTAAGGCGACCTGGGCGTTGAAGGAGTCTTGCCCGGCGGAGGAGGAGGAGCAGGTCGGGGACTGGCGAATCGTTCTGGCTCCTCGGCTACATCTGCAAGGCTGGGACTGAATGGCGGTGTCATGGCATGAATCGCCGAGTCGTCTGGTGTCGTGAGAGCATGGCCAAAATAAGAGTCTTCCTGAATGTCCGACAGTTGCTGATCTGGCGTCGAGACTCCAGGAATCATGAAAGAGTCCCAGACACCAGACTCCCGCTTAGATCTTGAAGAACTTGACACTGTTTTTGACTCCTCATCATGCCAGTTCTCAGCTTCGACCCGCTGCACTGGCGGATGTCGTCGTGCAGCAGAACGAGGCGGGGATGCAAGGACCAGTGGCTCATGTTTTCGCGGACTAACCCCTGGTTGAGAAAAGCTCTCGACGGATCGTGCGGAGCGAAGATGTGGCCTAGTGGGAGCAAGTTGCGGGATCGCATCGGATTGTTGCCATTCGTGCTGCGTTGGTGGGCTGCGGAGATACGACCGTACGTTGAAAGCAGATGTTGACCGAGGATCTGCATTGATAACATTATCCGAAGAAAAGTTGCGGAAATGAAGATCGTCCGTCTTGGCCCCATGGAGGCCTCGGCTTGAAGGTCGTGTCGCGCGCGTGGCTTGTGAACCAGAAGCAAGATCCTCAGCAGATGCCTTCTCAAGCGCAGCAATCTGATGGCGATCGGTGTGCGAAAGGTGTTGAAAGTCAAATGGCTTGGAGATCTGATTTATCAGAGCGCCTGCAACACGTGAGCATTGGATGACAAGATTGAATGGAAAGCAGCTTACCAGCGTCCTCGGCATACTCAGTTCGCCTCTTGTCTTTTCGCAACATGGACGTTCTTCTCTCACTCAGATCGGTTTCCGCAAAGTCGGGCGTGCTGACCGCCGTGGCTTCACTGTTCCTCTTCCCTTTTCTTCCTCGAAAAAACGACCTCCTTGTTCCAGCTTTTGATGTCTCACTTTGATTTTGACCCCCTGGCTGAAGACGTACAAGTGGGGAGCCATTCCATGATCCATCATGGTCGGCCATGTCGGGATGGTTGGGTGACATTAGCGAAGGAGCAGTGGAATTTGCAGTGTTGCTCCTTGAACGCAAGTTGAAAACGGAACTCCGCTTTGCCGAATGGATGGCGAAATGACCAGAAGCCTGAGCGCCAGCATAGGAAGCACCAGCCTCTAGCGAGGTACCGAGTTCGAGGTCTGGTGTTGGAGGATGGGGTCCAATGGCTTGAGAGTCTACAGAAGATTGTCTAGATCGTGGAGCAGTGTCGCCTTTGAGGATAGAGAACATTGTTGGGGCGTTGCACACGCGAGCTCCTGTTCTGAGATATCTCGCTGGGACTGGAGGTCTGCAAGGAAGTGTTAGGGAGTCCGTGCAGATGCTGTTAATATAAGACTATTTGGTCCGCAAGAAACGAGGTTCTAGGGTCGCACAAGGGGTGGTATGTATCAAGGCTACGAACCCCAGGGAACGGCGTGGTCGAAAGAAAAGATCAAGCGTTGCGGAGACGTAGGGAATACGATGGAAGGACGGTTGATGCGCACCTAGCAGAGTGGACGGCTCGATTGCAAGAGCCAACAGGTAGCACAGATTGGGCCACAGACCACACCACAACACAGTAGGGCGATAATGCGAGATGTGACTGACCAGATCAGAGGGTGATATGATGAGGGGTGTACTTAGGTAGGCCAGGGATAAATTAGCATGGACGCCGACGACTATGTAGTAACCAGAAGTGGGAGATGTTGCAGATTGGAAGGAATGGCGTTCGTTGTGAGGGTCGCGACAAAAGACGGAGAGAGAGTGTGTGTGTGAGAGAGAGTGAGAGAGAGTGAGAGGGAGTGGGAGAGAGGGAGTGGGAGAGGGAGAGGAGAATCCAGCTGATGGAGAGTGTTTTCAGGAAGACGTCCTGTTAGGCTGCACGTCGTGACGCGGGAATGAGGGAGACTTTTAGTTGCCGGTTAGGTAGACCCGTGGAGGGTAGGGGTGATCTCGCTATGTAAGTACCCAAGTACATGGCTTGCAAGCTCCAGCAAGCAAGCAACCAGCAGCAGCAGCAGTAGCAGCAGCAGCAAGCGGAGAGCATGTGGAGAAGGATGGAAAGGTGCTCAGTGCGTTGCGCTCCACCGCCGAGGGTAGTAACATTTGAGCAACGGGCAGGGACAAGGGCCACTATGCGCAAGAAAGAGGAGCATGGGGTTGGGGGTAGGGTGGGGTGGTATGTGTGCCGTTGGTGAGCTGCGAGCATGTTGTGTAGCGTTTGGACGACTGGGTAGGTTACTGGGTAGGGCATGTACAGTAACATGGCATGGGACGGCGTTGTGCTAGGTAGTGGGTGAGTGGCTTGGGGACAGCGGGAGCAGGCATGTCAAGGAGAGTGAAGAGACATGGGAGGGAGACCCCAGGCTTATTCCTGCCCGCACTGGCCAATGCCAGCATCGACGCAAGAGAAAATGCGGCCCGACAAGTCGTCGCGGGACAATATAACAGAACGGGGGCCATTTGGTGCGCTGTGTGATTGGATGCCTCAGTGAATAAAATGGTTAAAATCGCGCTGCATGCTGGGTGCAGACATGGGTACTACTCCTAGGCTCAGCACCTGTGTACTACCGGTACGTACATGTCTCTCTCTCTGTACATGTTGGTATGACCGCAACAGGGGGGGGCCCGCTTTGCACACACGGCCGTGAACCTCGATCCTCTTCGTCTGACTATCTAGGTGTATCTATTGTACAGTACCTACTATGATGTACAATCTGTCTCTGCCTCTGAGCCTACATGCCGGCCACCTCTTATGCAACCGACCAGGTGTAGTGGGCACTCCTGGCGCGCTGGGGACATTGGGGCACTGAGGCACCGGGGGGAAGAGTCGGGAGACGTCCATGCTGACACAGGAACGACGAAACCCACTACATCATCATACATAGAGGAGCTAGGCTTTGCGGTGCGAGGTTTGACAATGCCCACCACATGTACCCAGGTAGTATTGTCTTCGCGATGCCCCGTTGCACACGCCGCGTGTCGTGCAATCGACTACACGTAGAACTCTCGAGCTGGAGTCCATGGCGGAGTGGGGAGGGACGAGAAATTCGTCTGCTTCCAACAGCTGCTAGTAGTGCCGAGCAGTGCCGGCTCTGCGTTTTCAGGCGGCCACGGCGCAGATGCAGCTGGTTCCAGGATTAGGCTGGCACACACCTGCAGCCTCCTCAGTGTTGACGATATTCGCCGCCTGCAACTCGAGTCTGGCGTTGTGTGGACGGGCAGCAGAGAGCGAGGCGTCGCACACAGCACACTCGTATCGTCCTGGCCATGCTGCACTGCCGCCCTGTCGGTGCTTACCAAGTCTCCAGACTGCGCTGATGGCTATGGGAGGGACAGAGGGAGGAGACGACAGGCTGCCCCTTTTGGTCTAGAAGACGGTCCAGCCGCAACGATCTTCGCTCTTGCGAAACACGAGCGATGAAACAGCCGAGCAAGACGATACCCTCGCCGACAATGTGGTCAGAATGGACTCGGTACCCCGCCTCCTTAGCACGTCTCAAACCACACAGGGCGAATGATGGGTCGATCAGCTTGAGCGTAACTGCTGTTGTTGTTGTTGTTGTTGTTGAGATGAAACCTGGACGATGTCCTCGTCTGTCTCAGCTCTCTCTCTCTCTCAGCACCGGCAGTTGGAAAGACTGGGGAGAGCACGGGGCGATTTGCATTCGTGCCCCAAGGCACGGCGACGAGGCTTCGCAGGCTTTCTGCCTGCCATGCTGCCATCAGTGCAACGGGTGGCTGCCAGGTCGGCCACATGCGATCCAGGTTGGTGACGGTCACGACAGTGGTGAGCTGCCGAGATTGCTGTCAGCCTCAGCCGCAAGGTGTGCTCTGTACCTAGCTCGGTAGGTAGGAACACTTGTAGTGTAGGACGACACAGACGGGTTGGCGGAGAGCTTCTGCGCTTTCAGGAGGGTCGACAGGCTCTCCTCTTGGCAGCCAATTCTCCGTGCGAGATTACCATGGACAAGTATGTACATGGTACCTACTGTCCCTGGGGGATCGACAATCGACGGCCGCAGCGAGGTCAGCAAAGGAGGCGCGCCGTATGTATGACAGCAGTAGCTACCGTACACAGCACAGATGTACTCGTACCATGTCAGGTTGGTACATCTTGGTGTCGACCTTTGGGTTTTCAAACCTTGGTCATGTACCGGTAATGCATCCTGTCCAGAACAGAACTCCAGAGCCTGCATGACTGGCTGCAGAGGCGTGGAACAAGCACACCGACAAACGTGCCCCATCGTTGGCTGTACCTAACTTTAAACTTGCCTACCGGTACTGTGGTACCTAGGCACTACGTACTCTACTCTACAACAGAATAAGTGTGTGAGGCGACGCGTTGGCTCGGATCGGGGATTCGGAGCAGTTACGGAACGATTTGGATTGGCTTGGAGAAGAAGAAGCGAAGCTGTGCCGGCGCACTGACCTCTGATGTCATAGCACACAACGGACCAACCTGACTAAGAAGGTCATGGAGACGCGTCTTGTTTCTCCTCTCCCAAGCCACAAACAAACTCCATCCATGGCTGGCACGCAAGCAAGCACAATCATCCCAGCGGACCGTCACAAAGCCAGAGATCAACCGAGCCCATGTGCTTCCACGAAGTCCACACCGTCAGTCTTGTTGTCCTGCTGTCGTCCAGTTCACCCATTGATCCCAACGGCCTTCTAGGGGTGCCTGCGATCCCCTCGAACTCCCCTCGACCGCTTGCATCGGCCAGAAGTGAGTTACGATGCCTCTGGCCTCCCCTTGTCTATCACGCAGTAGGCTCCACTTCCTTTAAACACAGTACCTAGGCAAGGCTAAGTAGGTACACGCAACACTGTACGCACATCTCCTGCTCTACATATCATGATACTACGTCTCGCTCTGGTAATACCCAATGTTCACCTCCAAAGGTAGAAGGTGTAACACATTTCCTACCGCCATGCCTCGGCGGCCATGCCTGTTTCTTCCAAGTATACTTTATCAGCTGTCGAGCTTGTCTGGCACGGTGACCACATTACCCCTCCGCAACCGCATTCCACATGAGTAGCTACTCTTGCCAGAATACTGCAGCTAAGCATGGCGCAAAACACTCTCACTCCAAAGACGAGTGGCGGCTGCGAACTTCCGTCCCAAACTGTCTCATTCCCGATTCCAGGAACCTGGATGCCAGTCGCCGTCCCCACTCACCTTGTTCTCCTGCCTGAATGGAAAGCTAGCGTCTCTACACTTTTGCTCAAACACAACACAGTCCCGTTCGGGTACCACCGAAGAGGAACGGGAACACAGTCGCGGTGTACTTTGGTCATCACTTGATAGTCACTTGTCCCGACTTTGACACCGCGAAACTGGTCCATAGTGCAGCCGAACCATCAACCAGTATAGGCGCCGGCGCTAGCGACATCTCATCTTGTGTGTGTGGGCCTCCTCGATTCCCTACGGCGAAGGAGCTGGTATCGGGAGAGAAAGGCATGTAGGCTCAACACGATAGTGAGATAGTTTTAGTCCCTTGGTGTATAGTCGTCGTCTTTCATTCGCCCTCAACGATGCCAAAAGTTTGCTGATCCAGACCCTGGGAATCTGACTTACTCGAGGTATCACGATTTGGCGCCGTCGATCACCATGCTTGGCAACAGTCGGGCATGACATCCGCTCGAACCCAGTGGTGAGAGTTTGGACTACGATTGCTGGTGCAAAGTGGTCACAGGTTGTACCTTGCGAGCTCTAACCGGGTCAAATGAACCATCTTCCTTTCTGCGAGCACCCCGCTTGGAAAATCTGTCAGCACTCTCTTTGTCCACGTTGTGGGGGAGTGGGCAGGCGTTCGCCCAAGACACGTTCTCTCAACGCATTTCGTACAATAGGCTTGGAAGATGTCCCGGTCAGTGGAGTCTCCAACGGTCAGTAAACTGTGGGAATTTGGCCGTCGACCCAAATCGTGCACGCTCCCGGACCAAGTGAGATTTCAAGAGAATTCGCAAACACCCTTGTTACGCTTATTTGTACATTGTAGGCCAGGCTCTGCACTACCTGCAGTACAGTTTGGCTTTCACAGGAGCCATGGCGTTGGTGGGTGGATATATGCCTCGCGGCGGATGTTCGCTGCAATCGCCACATCCAGTCGCGTTGGTAAGCTGAGAATGAAGTATTGTGCCGCAATGTGTGGATCGGTGCAGATTGCACTGGTCAGTCCAAGCTCTGTCGACTCCCCCCCCCCCAAGTGACTTTCTCCATATGCACGCCCCAGGGGCTGCCTGAGGTGGTCAAGTTGATCGAAACAGTGCCTTCCAGCTCGGTTGTTGGAGCCGGATCTTCGCTGTTCCCCAAAGACTGCAAAAAATAATATAAATGACGTTTACGAGCCTTGCCGTCTCCAGGGGCTGGGGGCATGCCTGAAATTAAATGTTGTCAATGGCGGAGTCGGAGTTGGGTTCAAATGCTATTTTGCATATAGTTTTGCGGGTCAGATGCATTGTGCGGTTTGGCAAACTTAGTCAGGGTCTCGCGATGTCAAGGTCCGAATGCTGCGAAAGGCTACAGAGCAACATGAACATCAACATTTTCTGCGAGATTCCATCTCGGGGGGTTTTTTTTTGGTCACAGACCGAAGGGGAGTACACGTTGCACTAACTGTCAACCAATGTGGCAATTCGAATTCCCGAGGCGCTCGTAGTGGCACAACGTGTTGGCGCATGTAACGGGATGAGGAGATACCCCAAAACACCAGCTATCATGTCGCTGAAATATCCAGTGCTTGCACAATTGCCTACACGACATCCTCACAGCTTCCCCGCAATAGCACTGATGTCGACTAGTGACATGTCCCATCGACTGTTCCAGCCCCCCCCCCCTTAACCCACTAAAAATCCTGTATTCAATTCGCTCGACAAACAAGACCTGTCGTTCCTCCTCTACACCACATATCCCGCCCAACACTCTCAATCCCATCTGCCATCCACCTCATCGCCAACCAGCGTGAGACGGAAACCTTCACCGTGGCCCGTCCAACAAACATCTAACATCCAACGCAAGAAGCAGAGATCATCCAGCCCACGCCACCAACAAGGCTGACGCGGGTCAGGCGCACCACCTAGAGTGTGGAGAATGTGCGGCGGTGTGGGTTCAGGGTGGGTTTTAGGAGCGGATGCGTGGGCGGTTATGTGAGGGCAGGGAGGGAAGAGTGGGTTGGTGGAGGGGAAGGAGTGAAGGAAAGGGGAAAAAGTTTCTTCAGGTGTGATGGGTTGGTTGGGCTGTGACAGAGGAAGAGGAAGTGGACATGGAAGGGAGAAGTGTTGGTATGATGTGATATTGGAGCCATGAGCTGGGGAGAATCAATGTGTATGATCTACCGGTATCTACGTCAACATCGTATATTCTAATAGTCCGTGTAGACTAGAGGAGAGCAAAGTCCCATCGACTAGACTAGACCAGACCACCCAGCTCCCGACCCCTTCCCCCCTCCAACAAACGACTTATCGTCGAGAGTCCCTACCCAGTACTTTCTCCACTCTTGCGCCCAAAAAAAGCATTGGCAGCAAGAAATTCAGCAAATGAGAGCTAAAGCGCATTCTCACTTTTCCTCCTTTCTGCTCAAACACCTCGCTGATATCCGCGATATGTCACCCCTTGTCTATAGGTAGCCAGTACGTGCCCACTGGTAGCAGAGATCTAGCAAGATAGACCCATCATAGTGCAGGCATCTTTCCCGACCCTCTGGACTCTACACGTGGAACACAGCAATATCACCGTTTCGTTCCCCTGTGGCTCGGGGGGTTTTAGGCTGGGATCTGGGATCTAGGATCTAGGATCACAGCATCCATACACTTCCAATCCCATTTTCTTCCTTCTCGATATTATCTCGCGTGGAAAGCGCGTGCGCTGGGATTACACAGGGTCGGGCTTACAATTGGGTAGTTCTGCTTAATTTGTGTGTCGTTTCGTCTGGAGTAACGTAGCGTGCTTGTACATCCCTACCTGCCTATGCCCGCGCGAGGAATTCAAAAGTGTAAGGGGTAGAGGGGTTGATATTTTTGGCGCTGGGGGGGAGTGGAGTACAAGGCCGTGATGAGTCGTGTGATGGTAGTCAGGGCAGGGCAGGGCAGATGTCATAGCGAGGATTCGACAGCGTGAGTTAGTGTTACAGGGACACGGGTGCGTGGTGGATATTGTGTGACTGGGACTAGTAACTAAGATAGGGGAGACTCAGCCAATACATGAATTCTTTCGGATGCATTATTGCTTCTTCAGATGTTGCCGTGGCCCGTCTATTCTAGTCTGCCATATGAGGAGTAGTCGGCATTGTTACTTATCCTTCTAGTATCGTACGGCGTGGCGTATACTCGACATAGCGTGGGTATGTCTTTATGTAGGTAGCTAAGAGTACTACCATAGGTATGTGACACAGATCCAACGAAAATGGATAGGCACGATATCAGACGCAACGCAACGTAACCTGACCCAGTGCTACCAGGCTATCGACACGCTATCCTCTGCTCGTTCAAACTCCACTGCTACGATAATAGATGTAGTATCACAGTAACCGAAAAAAAACTACCTCGGACAAAGCCATGCTGTGCTGTCGCCCACGAGCCAGGCACATGCGTCCATGGCTGGTGCTTGTTAGTATCTCAGATGAAGTAGTGTAAGGTGTGACACAACTGTAAAGGACAATTGCAACTGTAAGTGGCGGGTGGATGTTTTCCTTGCGCTGTGAATTTATTGGAAATTTATGCAACATGTGCTTAAGTCTGAGGGTCGGATTTATTCTATAGGGTAGCTTTCGCGACTGGATTCTGCAAGGGGCTGACTACCAAGTGGTGTGTTAAGATCCCATTTGCAGGATAGTGGAGAAAAGGCCGTCGAAGATAGTTGGGGTCGAGGTATGAAGGATCTTGAGCAGCTGCGCTATACGGTAATGCAGGCTGAAGCTATGCTTGACTCCTAAATCGAACAGTCCAGTTCATCATGGTACATGGAGGGGACACGGTTGCGTTCCAAAGAACGCTTTGGTGTCGAAGCATGCTTTGTTGTATTCCATATATACAGCTCTTCCCATAACAGAATCAAATCCAACCGGTACGCCCAGGACTTGCAGATCCCCTCTACCCTGCTTAATGCGCTCCCTCGTCGTGATGTGCGTGGTGGTCATCCTTCCACAGGAGCTGCTCAGCAACGAGGTATCCAGCGAATGCGACGGTGGCTATGCCAAGGCCTGGGAAGGAACCCTTGAAGCGGTTGAAGCGGGTGAAAGGGCCAGTGTACCGCCATTGCTCACTGCAGGCGTTAGTAAAGCCTTCCATTGATTGTGCGCAATGGCTGTGAGTGGAAGAGCCTACTATCGTGCCCATGGGTCGCCCTGGGTGCCTCTTCCGGAGGCCGCGGCGAACTTCTTGGGGTCAAAGCCGGTGATGGAGGGGCGTGGTGCCATGGTCAAGAGCTGCGTCGGTCAGCGGGCGGATGATTTGAGTTTACTTTATTGGATATAGGCAGAGTTATGCCAATTGACGTGTGCTGTCTTGTCTCGAGAGATGACGTACTGTGTGGTGCTGGCCTCTCTGTATGCGACGTGGGCGCGACGACTAGACACAGAGACAAGCAGGAAGTCGAAGATGGCAGCGGCCGGGTGGAGACGCGCGCAATGTCTTGGCATAGGAGCAACGCTTTGAGACTCTGCGTCGGCCTACAACCACAGTTGCGGCGATATTAAGACCTTCACCGCAGCCACACTTTCTCCCCACCAATCGCTCTTCGCCCCCCGCCTCTCTCTCTCTCTCTCTCTCTCTCTCTCGCCGATACTATTATTTAGCTGCAAAGCTGAGAATTCTTCTTCTTCTTTGTACCGACCAACTCCTGTCATCTGTCACCCCTACCGTGACAGGATAAGCATCACAAGCAAGAAAAGTCGCTTCGTACGCGCATCTACGTCCTCGAGCTCTACAATCACAAGCACGCCCACACGCGCAATGCCGCCTCATGGGGGCCGCTTCCCTGGGCACAACCTGTCCAACCCCTTCGTACAACTCCCGGGCCCGATGCCGCAGCAGCAGCAGCAGCAAGCACCGCTCCACCAACAACATGCGCAGAACATGCAACACCCGGGCTTTGGTGGGGCAGCACAAACCCATAATCTCAACCTCTTTGGCCAGCACCAGACGGGCTTCCAGTCAAACGCAGGCCTCGGTGGTGGTGGTGGTGGCGGCCTGGGCGGCGCAGGACTAGGTGCAGCAGCAGCGCTCGGAGGGGTAGGCGGGGGAACGGGCTTGGACGGCCATGAAGCGCGCATGCGGTTTGCCCATGGCGCCCAACTGCAAGAGAATGCTGTCCGTGGTCAGGATGGCGCCAAAGGACTCGCCGGTCAGCGCATTCGCGAGGTTTGGCGGGGAAACCTGCACCAAGAGATGGATCTGTTACGCTCGCTCATCGACCAATATCCCTATATCAGTATGGTGCGTATGCCCTCTCCCTTTGTTCGCCAATCAGCTACTCCAAGGAGGGCCTGCTTGCTGGCCCTGTATCTGATGTGTGCCAAAGTGTGACATCAATGGCGGCAGGACAGAAGTTCCTCCCCTGGTAGCTTGTTTCTTCTCTTCTGCTTCTCTCGCCAGTACGGCTATGCTCACACTCCAACAGGACACCGAGTTCCCCGGCGTCGTGGCCCGACCAATCGGCGAATTCAACTCAAAGGCCTCGTATCACTACCAGACAGTACGCTGCAATGTCGACCTGCTCAAGATCATACAACTCGGCATCACCCTCTTCTCTGTACAAGGCGAGGTACCACCCGCTCACCTGGACACCTCCTCACTAGCCTACCAACCCAAATCCTTACAGCGATATGCCAACAACATCATTCCCTGTCCTTGCACGTGGACCTTCAACTTCCAGTTCTCTCTCGATGAAGACATGTACAACGAGGAATCGATACAAATGCTCAAAAAGTCTGGAGCCGATTTCGACAAGCACAACACCCAAGGTATCAATCCACAAGAGTTCGGCTCGTTGCTGATAACATCTGGGATGACGCTCAGCGAAGATGTCAATTGGATATCCTTCCATTCCGGCTACGACTTTGCGTACTTGATTAAGATGCTCAGTGCACAGCCCTTGCCCGAAGACGAAGACTCGTATAGAAAGCTGGTCAATATCTTCTTCCCTCGTTTACTGGACGTCAAGTATCTTTGGAGACATGCCAACAACATGGTTCGCCGAGGAGTGATTGGCTCCACCGCGACCAACATTCTCAACAATCTGGGCACCAAGTCAGGACTACAAGACCTCGCCGACGAATTGGGCTGTCAGCGTATTGGCAACTCGCACACCGCTGGGTCCGATGCATGGCTTACAGGCACTGTCTTTTGGGACATGAGGAAAAAGATATTCGACGGCAACATTCCCGAAGAGATGAATGGCCAGATGTGGGGACTTACAGGCGTCGGTCCACCAGCGAGCGCCACGGCTCAAGCTGCCGTACTGGCTGCACAAGGTGCACAGACGTTGACCGGATTTCAAGGCATGAACGGTAGGTTTGAGTTCCATCCTGGCCAAGCAAGGCACGGTGATGGGCCCAGTACGCCAACGAATCACCCAGCAGGTCTAGCGTCAACACCAGGGCCATCGCAAGGCGGAATGATGACTCCGGGTCAATATGGCGGTTATGGTGGCAAGTAGCATACTCTACCTGACATCCATGCTGAGTCCTTGTTTCTAGTTGCGCAAAAGAAGTTTATAACATCAGATACCCAAGTCGACAGTTCGCAACATCGCGATCGATATGAAATACTGTTTCCTCCATTGTTTCAGCAGTCACTACCTTTGTCTTCAACTCGCTTCGAACCATCTCCTCATTGCCCAGCATTTATACCTGGACAAGATTATCAAGAGGCAGCGTTGCACCGACAACAACAACACCACCAGGGGTCTGAGCCCGCATTACTACCACCATTGCCTCATGTCCGTTCCCATATCATTCCACAACCACATCATGATAGACCAATTCCTTTAGCGCCTCTCGCACACTTCCGAAACCATCATGCACAACTTCCCCCTTTACCACCACCACGACGAGGACGCCCCCCTCCTCGACATATCAGCCCAAAGCAGCACCACCTTTCCTCTACGCCAGCCGACCAATTTGATAACCGCACCGAATTGGAAACCAGGCTTCGCCAATCCAAACGAAATATCGAGTACTTACCCCGTTTACCACCGCCATGCCACCTTCCTCGACATCTCCGCCCAGAGCAAAATCACCCCCGAACCCCGCCAGTTGTTCGATTAGATAAGCGCACAAAAGCGGAGACCGGCCTTCAGCGATCCAAACCAACCCTTAGACAATTCCCACACTCGGCTGCGCCCGCACACGCCGGACTCCAACCAACTGTGCGCCCCCTCGTCGCTGCCGCCGCTTAGCCAGCCCCGCAGGACGGCAAGCTATGCGTTCCTGAACAGTGGCCAAGCCATCAGCAATCAGTTTGGAGACATTTTAGAGACGGAGGGTCTGCTATAGATTGTTTGGGGTCGTCATTGCAGCCAGAACAGCGAGTCCCGGCGGGGGAGAGCGTTAGGCCCCCTCCCGGTCTGGATACTATTGCTGGGCAGTTTGGAGACAGACGCTCGGTGAATGACGGAGATGGCTTGAAGTCGCCCGAACAGCAAGAACAGTGTGGCCGGGAGAACAGCATTAGGCCATCTCCCGGGCTGGGTCCTGATGCTCAGCAGGCCGGACACAGAGGGTCGTTCATAGGGCCGCTCGGTCAGTCAGAAAATCGTGTCCCGGCAAGAGAGCACATTAGGCCTCCTCCTGGGCTGGAGAATAGTGCCGGGCTATTTACTGCTGAGATGTTTGAAGACAGAGGGCCGTTGAGTAATACATATGGCTTGGGGTCATCACCTCAGTCACAACAACGTGTCCCGGCGGGACAGAACATGAGGCCACGTCCTGGGATAGGTCGTGATGCCAGGCAGCCTGCAGACAGAAGCTCGTTACACAACACAAATGGCCAGCAGTCGCCATTCCGCCCACTATGGCAGAGCCCAGACGTCACCATGCTGCCAGTACCTGGTCTAACACCTGATGTCCCGCAGGTTGAAGACGAAGAGTTGGTCCTAGACGGCCTGGGCTCCCCATTCCAGCCTCAACCGCGTAATCCAAGGGAAAGCACTACTACGCCTCCTTCCCGGCCCGCTCGTGATCGTGCTGCTCGCCGGCGTCGAACCAGACGCTGGGTTTATAGTAGCTTTGGGCCCCTCTATCAGAATGTACGGCGGGCCCAGTTGAACAGAGTTAGACCGCCTCCGGGGGTGGAACATAATGCGCGTTGGGACTTGACGGCCTGGGGAGGGGGGGGCAGGGCGCAGCCGCCTGAGCGGCCTGCGTTGTTGCCGGGGCCTGACCAGTGGGGTAATTTGCTGCGATGGGCGGGGTGGGTGGGAAGGGATTGGTATGAAAGGAGTTGGAATGAAAGGGGCTGGGGGAGAAGGGGCTAGGGGAATGGTTAGTTTATTTGAAAGATGGGTGAAGGTTTCTTTCTGTATTGTCCATCAAGGATATGGGGGTGGACAGTGTGAGAAAGTGTCTTTTTTCTGCGAGACTTGGTTGCATTCTTGTCTTGCTGGGACAAGGGGATTGAGAGCAACTGAATAAGGTAATGTCTACATGTTGAACCTTGTACGTTGCTTCTCCATCCTTCCTTTCCACTCCCATTCCTGCCCGCTCTTGAATTGGATCCCACGGTCTACTCGGCGCAGCTTGAGCGTCATGCGAGGTCTGTAATATTAGTTATTAGCACAATGTGACTCCGTGGGCAATACGGGTAGGGACAGGATGAAAAAAAAAGCCGACTTACCCAATCTCCTGCATACCCACCTTGATATCCTCGACACCGGGCATCGGCTTCCCATCGTTACCCAGAATCGACTTCTCGCTCTCCCGCTTGTCACGAAAGACGTATCGATGACGGCGGACGAAGATGTAATCGCGCTGATTATGCAGCGTCAGGACCTGTCTGCCCTGTAGTTCCGGGTCGGCAGGGAACAAGCCCTTGAACAGCTGAGCGGTGAGGACACCGAGGGGCGTTTTGAAGTTGTTGAGGATGAGTTCGGGGTAGTGACCCGTGTCTGTGGCGTGGCGCGGCAGCTTCTTGCCCTCGATCCAGTTTGTGACGCTGAAGTGGAAGTGGGGGCCGTTGGGCAGGTGGATGACGTCGAGCCCGTCTGCCTTTTTCTCGTGCTGGGCCTGCATGAGGACGACGAGGGCGGTGTAGTCGCGGGCCGAGGCGAATTGGGCGATCTCGCGGACAGAGTACTTGTGTGCGTGGAAGTTTGCGGTGCGGCGGATGTAGGTGCTGTTGGGGAACAGTGAGGTGAGGATGTCAGCTTCTTTGTGAAGAGTCGAGTTTATCGAGGTGGTGATGAGGATCTTGGGTTCAGGCTGGGTGTTAAAGAGCTGGGGGAATTTCTGTTTGAGGAATTCCGGGGAGAGCTCAAGATTGGTGGCTGTCGAGGTTGTGGGGCTTGCGTCACGTTTGCGAGGGTCGACCTTGCTTTTGCCTTTTCTCGAGGGTGCAGAGTTGGTGTCTGAGTCAAAGTCATCATCGTCGTCTGAATCGAAGTCAGAGGCGGAGTCGGATGCATCTAGCATGCTGTCTGCTTCGTCTTCGTCTTCGCCCATGTCTCCATCCGAGTTGCCCACTTTCTCGATCCTCTCGGCCTTCTTGAGCTTTGCCAAAACGCCTTCTTCCTCGTCTTGCTCCCCCTGCTGTTCTGCTTCCTCTTGCTCCATCTTGCGCCTCTTAGCCAGCCTTTCTACATCGACTGCCCAGCCCAGCGCATCTTCCTCATCGCCTACAGGCTCGTCGTCCCATACTCGCTTGCTATCGATTGTGGCTGGTACATTGCGTGCATGGCGGTCTTCTCGCAGTGACGGATCCTGTTGTTCTTGGCGCTTGCGGCGATGTCTCAAGTCTCGTTTCTCGGCTTCGCGCGTCTTCTTGATGGAGAGGAAGGCAGCTTGTCGACGCAGTTTGTTCTTGGGCTTGAAGCCAGTGGGTACACTGGGCGTGAAAGCCATACTGAAGGGCACGAGACGTGCGTTCACTCTGTGCGAGGGGTAGGTAAGTTGTTCGTGGAGTTTACTAATGGACGGTTAAACCCAATGTGCGTGTATACAATCACAAAGGGTAGTTGAGTCGTGCTGGATATGCGACAGTGAAGAGGGTCTGGGCCAGGCTTGGAGTGAATGGGCGAACTTTTCGGTGGAGCACGGCGATTCCTTCCTCCGACGACAAATACTTTTTGGAGCCGCGAAATCTTGGCGCACGGGCTCAACTATCTAGGAAGTTCAGTCTAGTGGGACACTCGGGAGAGAGAGATGTGGTCAACACGTACTTTGTTTTATAGTTGTAATTAGCAATTCATCATTCCTTTACGTGCTGCTCCCCTTTCGCATACGAGGGGACTATTCATCAGTGTATGCGCCCGCTGTCGTCGTTGGCGCGCATCAGCAGCTGTTTTCCTGCGCGTCTGGCTACTTCACACAGGCTGCCCGCACTTCTTCTTAGTGCCCCGCCTTCACTGATTTCCCCGGTTCGCAACTTCAACACCACTGCCCCTCTTCACCGATACCAAGTCCCTATACGCAAAGCACCGGTCAATATGTCGTCCGACATGACCACGCTCAAGGGTGAGCCCTTTGATCGGGCTGCACTCGAGTCCTTGGTCAAGGTATTATTGCGCCCATTGGACATGCGCCATGTCCCCGCGGGAGTCACACACTGAAGCAATTCGCAGCGCCGTCACTTCTTCCTGCCCGCCTTTGGCATATACGGTGGTGTCGCCGGTCTCTACGATTATGGCCCTGCCGGTACTGCGCTCACAGACAACATTGTCGATGTATGGAAGCGACACTTTGTGCTTGAGGAGGACATGCTGCAGGGTAGAGACGCACAGAAAGATAATGTATACTACGAGACGTCGACACTGACACAACGACAGTCGACTGCACCATGCTCACTCCCCACGAAGTGCTCAAGACCTCCGGCCACGTCGACAAATTCGCCGACTGGATGTGCAAGGACCCAAAGACAGGCGAAATCTTCCGTGCAGACCATCTCGTTGAAGAGGTGTTGGAGGCAAGACTAAAGGGTGACAAGGAGGCTCGTGGGCAGAAGCTCGAGCCCGAGGTGGATGACCCTAAGAAGAAGAAGAAGAAGAAGGTCAAGAATATTGCCGCTGTCAAGCTGGACGATGCCGTGGTGCAGGAGATTGAGGAGGTGCTTGCACAGATTGACAACTACAACGGCGAAGAGCTCGGCCAGCTCATCAAGAAGTACGACATCAGGAACCCCGCCAACAACGGCGAACTACAGCCCCCGGTTGCCTTCAATCTCATGTTCCAAACCTCAATCGGACCCTCCTCCAACATGCCCGCATACCTACGCCCAGAGACCGCCCAGGGCCAATTTGTAAACTTCCAAAACCTCCTCGAGGACAATCAGCAACAAATGCCCTTCGCATCAGCTTCGATTGGCAAGTCCTTCCGTAACGAAATCTCTCCCCGATCTGGTCTGCTACGTGTACGCGAGTTTCTCATGGCTGAGATTGAGCACTTCGTCGATCCCGAAGGTGGCAAGAAACACCCTCGCTTTGGAGAGGTCAAGGACGTAGAACTTGAGCTGCTGAACCGGGAGACTCAGCTGGCTGGAAAGACTACAGTAGAGACTACCAAGATTGGCAAGGCCGTCGAGACTGGTCTCGTGGACAATGAGACGCTTGGTTACTTCCTGGCTCGCATTCAACTATTCCTTCTGAAGATTGGCATCGACCCAAAGAAGATTCGATTCAGGCAGCACATGGCCAATGAGATGGCGCATTACGCAGCAGACTGCTGGGATGCTGAGTTGCTCACGTCGTATGGCTGGATAGAGTGTGTGGGTTGCGCCGATCGTAGCGCCTACGATCTGACGGTTCACATGAAGAAGACGGGTGCTCCTCTCTTTGTTCGCGAGCCAAGAAAAGAGCCCCTCAAGATTGAAGAGTGGCAATATGACCTTGACAAGAAGAGCTTTGGACAAAAGTTCAAGAAGGATGGAAAGGCGGTGGAAGCTGCCATTGATGCTCTGACCCAGGATTTGCGGGAGAAGCTGTCGTTAGATCTCGAGAAGGAGGGCAAGGTCGTCCTTGATGTACCTGGTGTTGGTGACGGTAAGGTGGAGGTACCCAAAGAGCTCATCAAACTTGAGAAGCGCACAAGAGTCGAGAATGTCCGGGAATACACGCCAAACGTTATTGAACCATCTTTTGGTATTGGACGCATATTCTATGTAAGTTCGGCCATTCAGTGGTTGTACCCGGCACTGCTGACTTTTCAGGCTCTCTGTGAACACGTATACTGGACTCGCGAGCAGGACAAGGCTCGTGGCGTTCTTTCCTTCCCACCAGCGGTGGCGCCCACCAAGGTCCTCATCGTACCACTCAGCTCTCACCCAGACTTTTCACCCTTTGTACAGACTCTACGTAGCAAACTAAGGAGCATTGGCATTTCTAGTCGTATCGATGCATCCGGTGCTTCTATTGGCAAGCGATACTCGGTGAGGGATCCATTCACTCTCTAGGTTTACGTTGGCTAATACAAATACTAGCGTAATGACGAGCTTGGCACACCCTTGGGCATCACCGTGGATTTCCAGTCTGTCAAGGATAACACATTCACGCTACGAGACCGTGATTCCACAGAGCAGGTCCGAGCCAGCATAGATGAAATCATTGCAGCGATCTCGAACATTGTCAATGGTTCAGAAAAGTGGTCAGATGTTGCTGCGCGTCTTCCGAAGTTTGAAGGCCAGGAGGTAGATTAGATTAGAATGGGCAGTTGATGTGTATAGCTATGGAGATATACTTGCAATCAGACCTTATACGTAAGGCAAACTAAGTGCACAAATGCTTGTCGCCGGCAGAACTCTGACCGTTTCCCTAAACTTGACCTATTCTAATCAACGCTGTCCTTCCCGTTGAAGTAACATCCGAAACCCTTCTTCTTTAGAGGACGCCAAGACTTGCTGTGCCGCTGTACCCTTGAATACCTAGACTTTTAGAAAAACCATCACCTTACTGCAATGTTCCTTTATACACAGCCGAGGTTGTAGCCTCTGCAGACCTGCGAGATGTTAGGAGAACCTTTCGGTTGCAAACATCGTTCATCGGTACCGGTAATGTAAGCTACACCCTAGGTTTACCTAACGCCAAGGGGCAGGCTCCCCATATTAGGGGTGAAGATTCCTACCTCACGATCGATTGAAGATGGCTTGCACCTAAAGAACGCATTGCTCGGTCTGTTTGGATATCGCAATGATCTTCATTCTACATAATCTCTGCAGGTTGCTGACTCGACCGCCCAGGCATCTTTCCGCACCTCCTAGGATAGCCGTCGGCGAGTCGACATATGAATGAGTTGCTGACCACATATAGATCCACTTGTAAGAAAGAGGGGACTCTTATATATGCTGTGGTTCCAGGACCAGTCGGCACTGTCCATACGTCAACAACACGTCCTGCCTTGTTATGGCGAACTGCAAAGGAGAGCTCGCGATGGCTTGCTTGATTCACCGTCAATCATGCCGAATCAAATACACAGAATCCAAACACACGTTGTCTTCCCGCCACCTAGCAGACGTTTCAATTCACAATCTCTCACCGAGCGACCGCTGCTCAACTGGATATATTAGGAACCAAAGTTGCGTCGAAAGCCACTCTTTCACCACACGATCAGTAATACCTGGAGCTACGCCTGATACACCGAAATGAAAGCGGGGCTTTGACCCTTTCCGCCTATCGTCCGCAGCACGCAGCTTACAGCGAGTCGCAACGTCGCAACCCCTCCATCATGCCGTTTGGAATTTGCAGGCACACGGAGATTGCGATGTAACGTAGCATTCGCTATAGCATCGCTATGGACAATAAACAAGACTTGTCCAACAAAGCTTTCAAAGTTCCCTTCATCAAGTAGCAGTCTTTGGGCCTGGGTGTCAACGTATCAACCATCCGCATCGCTTTCCAGCCATCGTTGCCATCTTGAGATGGTCTCGGGGAAGCGGTCTGAAGTCCCGCAGTACCTGCATTATCTACTATTTGCTGCAATCACGCTATTTTCTTGAACCGAAGTCATGTTGCCGTGGGTGCTTCTTTGATCCCACCCGCCTGCCTTTGGGCATCCCTTACTTCAGACTTGGTGTACGGAAAACACATTCGACGAACCACCAGACCATAATTGCGCCACCTGCAGCATTCCCCGCCGATCCCGTACTCTGCGCTCTCAGAGCTCACAGCGACTATCGGTGCCAGTTGTGGGCTTGGTATACGGTACCGGTACGCAAAGACAAGCGCGCCACCAGTATCAAGCGACCATCGCTTAGTTGGGTTCTGCAACCACCGAAATCATACCATCAGCCTTGACAAACTTTGCAGATGCAGTAGTCGCCAAGAGGGGGAATCGCTGCACATTATTCACTGCTCTTACGAATCTCAAAAGCGTATACAGCTCAGCCCTGGGAGCCTTAACGTAACTCTTGCACCCGAGTCCATGGACAAGGAACGCGATCAACCGCCACCACCCGCGGCTCCGGAAAGCTCCCCCAAACGCCCGAGAGCTGACTCAGGAAGCTCAAGCTCAACCGAGTCTAAGTGAGTTCTCTTTCTTTAAAATGCAAAAGTCTATTTTCTTTTCAGGCATGTTTGTTGCCCCTGCTGCACCAAGCAATCTCACGCTCTTATGACTGGTTGCAGGAGACACCTCGTAATGGCCAGTATGGCATCATGGGTCACGATACTGATACCCTAGTCTTAGTCGCTCTGTACGCACCGTCACGTCGGAAGATTTGGAATACGTCCACGAGAATGGTCGCACGTACGGAAACGACACATATTACTTACCCTGCATATATCTGCCCAATGAGGATTTTCGAGAACAAGATCGGCTGTCACTGCAACATCGTGCCTTTGTATATGCACTCCAAGGGAAGTTGACGACTACAAAACTGCTACCAAGCACAAGACGCATACTCGACCTGGGTACAGGACCAGGGCACTGGGCGGTGGGCATGGCTCACCAGTACCCTGATGCCGAAGTCGTTGGCATAGACTTGACACAATGGGACATCGAAACCACTGAAGCTACGCTCGGAGAATCACAAGTGATGTGGGAACTCGATGATTTGGACGTGTGGGGCAAAGAGACTGATATCGAAGACCTTCTCTCCCGACTTGCAGAGCATGATTTCTTCGCCGACACTACCAACCGAACTCCCATTGGCTCGCCTACGAAATCACGAGCTGGAACTGATGTGCATAGTCAGTCAGACAGCTCAGTTGAGAACCTGACCATCGACCTGACTACGTTGGAGCCACAGCCAGAACCTGGATGGCACTTCAGTGCTCCCTTTGAGCTCATCCATCTGCGCAACATGAAGGGCGCCTTTACGCACTGGGAGGAGGTCTACGCCGAGATTTACAAGAGCCTCTCGCCGGGTGGGTGGATAGAGGTTGCCGACTATGATCTTGGAAATGTGCCCGCACCCCCCGAGGAGCCTGACTCATCATCATACACCATGGTCAATGTCCGCAAGCTCTACGCTTCACTCATGCAGGCATCCTACAAGTCTGGTCGCCCCCTGGGCCTCTTCTACATGCATCCCTCGTATCTCGAAGAGGCCGGCTTCACCGACATCCAGACGACCCATGTCAACGTGCCGATTGGATCGTGGGGCGAGGACGAAACGCAGCGATCGATTGGCAAGATTATGCTTTTTGTTGTTCTCGAGTCCTTTGAGGCGATACTGCTTCGGCCGTTGACCAAATATGGAGATAATGAAAAGATCTG